CTCTCTCTCTCTCTCTCTCCTGCCTCTCGTACTATAAATTTCACAAAATCTACATTAAATATAAATTAATTGCTCCAAAATAATTGATAATGATACAATCATTATTATTTGTATAGCAAATAAGAATAGCACCCTCAATCAACCAAGGTTTCTTACAATAATTTTTAAAAATAAGCAAAAATAATACAGCACGTTGACTAAACCTAATGATATTTAATAACATGTTAGTTTTTAATGGGAATATCCCCACAGCCTTTCAAGTGCACTACAATCATTAAGATAATAATCGGACAACATGATAATAAACTTATTATTATTTGTGTAACCCTAATCTGCCCTTGCATACTAAACTCGTACATTTCCGATGACGTAAATTAAAAAATTTAGGTGCATTTTTATGTTTTCAGGTTATTTTTAACTTAAAAATTTTATGCAAATATTATTGTGAAAATAAGGAGATTGCAAAAAATAATTAATTGTACTATTTTTATCATAACACATTTCGCAAAAATATCTAGATAACAATATATAGTTAACCTATACAATATTACATAATTTATACATGGGAAATTTGTTTATAAGATTTATAAATAGGGTTACGTGCACTTGCTCACAAAAATAGATAGTTTAATTATAACAATAACTAATTAAATATTTCAGTAAACAATTTCAAAATTATATAAATACGGCTGCAATATCCTAAACCATAATTGTTTTTATATATTCATATTTTTAATCCACATTATATAATTTAAAATGATGCTACTAGACAAATGGTTTAAATCTATCAAAAACACGATACCACAATATGTTTTGCATTTTATCCACAAACTAATTGAACAAGATAGTGAAACTATAAAATATGACTTAGCATCTACTGACTATAATAATAACAATAATAATAATGACACAAAAATATACCATCTTGCAATAAATAACAACGAGCTGTTTATAAACTATGAGATCAAGGGTTTAACACCTGAACCCACGGTAATTAACCCTCATGTTCCCGATGCTGTTGAGATGGTTGAACGGGAAATGTCCATGTGCTTTGGCCATCCCTGGACCGATCGCATGAATCTATCTGGTTTTCAGACTTATTTATTTACCACAAACAATCGTGATCTATTTGGAGTCATTAATTTTTGGACTGTGTTCGCATTTTTGTTTGACGATTATCTGGATCAAATACGCGATCAATCAGTACTCAAGTAATTATCAATATTTATTTTAATAACCAAAAAAAGATTACTTGTTAAAAAATAATAATAACTTATATTAATGTTATTTTACTTTACTACATAATTATTATAGTGAGTGGTACAATAAATATAAGACGGGTCATAGCGATGATGATAATCCGATGGATCGGATACTAGTAAAGGCCCGATTGTATATAGACAGGTACCTGAGCCCGAATCAATTGAAAAGGCACATGGATTATTTTCTCGGTTTTATACAAACATATAACATTCTAACTCCATATAAACACAACACCGCATTGAGATTGATGACTTATGACGATTTTTTTGCAATCAGGTAATTTACTTAAAAAATTTTATACAACCAAGTACATTTATAATTAAAATTCTCGACTATGTAAATAAATTATACAGAGAAAAAGACTGTGGTGGTGTAGCCGTATTTATATGGGCTGAGCTTAGCGCCAAATTTGACCCGGATCACTACGGTTTACGCGATAATGACCTCTACCAGGCGTTCACCTCTACATGTATTAAACACTGTGTGTTAGTCAACGAGATCTACTCGTTTCGGAAAGAGGTGCGCGCGGGCGACACAAGACATAACTACGTGTACCTGATTATGGCCCGGGAGAGAGTGTCGGCCCAGTTGGCAGTGGACCGGATTGTATGTGAGATACACGGCTTGTGGGCGCTGGTCATGGATTATGGCAAACAGTTGAAAGAGTTTAATAACCCGGCGCTCGACCGGTATGTGTGCGAGAGTTTACACGTTACCAAAGGTAACCACTATTGGTCCAGTATATGCGCCCGATATAAAGTATAATGAAAATCGTTTCAAAATTTAGGTTTTAAATAAATAAATTATTTATTGATTGTTAAATAATTTTTTGTATATCTTGAATTGTATTTTTGTTTTATACAAAATATTACATTGTAAATTACATTATTACAATATCAATACTCCAAATAAAACTTTTATATTATTATCAATAAATATTTATATGTAACAAAATTACAATATTTTTATGTAAATATATTATTTTTATAAAATTATTAAGTTTGGATTACATTTAATTTTAAGTAGAAAATTCTAAATGGAAGAAACACAATTTTATTATTTATAAAGCATCGTAATATTTAACACAATATTTATTAAGTTTAAAACATTATCCTATTATTAATTAAACTTAATAAATAACATTAAAATACTTGTTAATTAACTTTACATTGTAAAAATTATATTAAATTACAAATAATCTTAAGGTAGTGACAGTGGTAAACAGCTGTTAATTTAAATGGTTTATTTAGCATTTTAATTTTAAATTTTGAAATCAAACTTTTGGCTTCCATTTTTAAACAAAACATTTTTTTTGTTGTTATAAATTTTTAAAAGTTCACTTTTAAATAAAATTGTCAAAAAACTTGAGTTTAAAATGAGTTCAAAAGTATACGAGGGCTACAATAATTACATTCGAGGGCCAATCAAATCGTTCGCTGATCTAATACCGGATGACATACACTACGACACCGGTGACAACAATAACACCATGTACAAACATGTGACCTTAACAAACAGCATGATCAATTACGTGGTGCGTGGCGTCGAGCCAACCCGTGTGGCACAAAACCCGCACTTTCCCGACGCCCGAGCCGTTATTGAGCGGGAGGTAAGCGAGTGTTTTGGGCGCCCGTGGGTTGACAAATACAATTTTGCTGAATTCCATTCAACAACATGTACCACGACCAATCGGGCACATTTTGACGCTATTAATCTATGGCATACGTATGGATTTATCATGGACGATCACTTTGATAAAATTACTGATGAAAAATTAATTCGGTTTGTAAATGAATATGACAATTTTAAATATTTTTAATTTGTACCACGATAATATTTTTACTATATTAATAGAAAGTGGTATAATAAATACAAGGCTGGCCATAGCAACGAGAAAACACCGCTGGATATGTTAATGATGAAGATTATTAACATTATAAATACTAATTTGAGTAAGGATCAGGCTGGTCGTTTTCATAAGCATTATCTCGCTTATATTAATACATACGATACACTGTTGGACTATAAATGCAACAAGGTGCTCAACTATAACGAGTATTTAACTATCAGGTACGATTATTTAACACTCGATCGTATAATTATTAAATAAAATCTATCATTTAATAATGCAATTCTACTAAATCATTTATTTTAAATGAGAAATATTTATTTGATGTAAACATCATAATTTATATCAAAGTTATTGTTTATCTGGCAGTAATTTTTTTGCCACTTTATAATTTGTCCACAAAATTGATAACAAAATCTCTCTCTCTCTCTCTCTCTCTCTCTC